GAGCTTTAAGGTCCCTTCCACCCAAGCCATTCTGTGACCCTATTCTGTTCCATTCACCCCCTCACCTCTGTTGCCTTTGGGTTTTAACTAGAAAGTGCCCAGAGAAGAGTTTTTAATTGCCTGTTACTTGGTGAAAATGTGGGTTTTTTTCATGAGTGGTGTGTTGCCATCACATTTTTTCCTTACTGGGAGGATGGAGCTTTGTTCCCTCAGGTTTTCCTTTAGTGTTTTTCCTGATTCGGTGCCGTATCACAGCAGCCTCGGGGTGATGAAGGCTTTGTCACCGTGTCTGTGAGGCAACGAGACTCTTGGAAAAGCAGTTCAGACAGTTCTGTGGCTCCTGTTCCTCAGAAGCTGTGCTGGAGCACTGACCTTGCATGCTGCCAGGCCGTTAGGGTGGAGGTTGCCTCCGCCTCATGAGGAATAAACGCTGTGTGATAGCAGATGCAGCTTTAAAGTTTCCTGTAAACATGTTTTATTTCCTATTTATAAGTGTACTTACGGCTTCTAAGTTATTTATCTGCTGATGGTGTAGCCAATGCCTATTTTGACTGTGAAAATTAGCTGTTATCAGTCATATCTGATGCTATGAAGCGTTTTTAGTTTAGCCAGTTGTGTTACTGGCTGAAATTCATCTTCTGGTTCCTTCACCATCCATGTGCTGCTTGTGCAGCTGCAACTTCTTAGGTCAGCGTATGGGATGGGGAACTAATTGACTCTCTGTTTGCTTTTCCTATGGTGTCCTCCAGCAGACCTGATCTTAATAACCAGCTCCGGCCTGTGAGTAACCCACTCCTATACAACTGAACCTGCTCTCCTTTTATTTCCAGTGCTGCACCATGCTGACTGCCCCAGCAGATAGCTCTGGTGACTCCCAGGAGCAGCCGCTGGAAGTGAGCCAGAGCCATAGCAGCTCTGGTTTGCACTACTCGGAAGATACCTTTGAGTCCTTCAGTGAGGAGGAGGAAGCCCACTGGCAGGGAGAGAGCAACCCACCTGAATCCTGTTGTTGCACAGAGGATGTGGAGGGCTCTGCTGTGTCAGGTATGTTGGAAAGCATGTTGCGGTTGCAGGCCAGAACCATGCAGGTATGCAGAGCTTACCATGCTTGGGACCTCTCTTTAAATCTGTGCAGTGGAGATTCAAATCAGCAAGACAAAAAATGTCCAGCAGAGAGATCCCTTGTCCATCCAGTGTTTGACTGGGGTGCGTTTCTTCCACTCTGCAGTAATAACCAGCACCATTATTATTAGGAATCCTTCTCAAATATGGCTTAGGCATGAAATCCAAACAAGGCAGGGCCGAATTTGCTGTCAGAAGTGCATACATGAATGTAAACCCTGTTTAGTGTAGCACAGGATATAGCATCAGGTATCAGAGCTTCAAAAATCTGAATAGAAATGATCATTAGCTTAGTGTCAATTCATGTTACATTGATGTAATTGAAGAGTCTGAAAGATTTAACAGTTTTGCTTAAAATTTTTGGAGTTTACAAATAATTTTAATAAACAAGGTTTACGAGGGTTTTAATGAACCTTTTTTTCTGGAGCTATAACAGGTTATTTTAAGTTATTTCATGTCTAACACAGAAATCCTTATTTCTGGCACCAAGGAGTACATGCTGTGTGCGCACAGGGCTTTTTTGATAAGTGTTACCACTTTTATCTTTACAAGGTTAATGCTTCATAAAATTATGGTGTCTGCTGAATACTGTCAGTTAAATGAGAAACTAGGGAATGATTCCTAGGAGAATATTTCTGGAAATGGATTGTTTTCTGCAGTATATCTTACTGAGAACAGCATGTATAAATAGTAAAGACTACAGAAAGCTTGTCATGGACACATTATTTCCTTGTATAAGGCCACTGAATTTGAGATGAAAACCCTGAAAACAGAGTGGAAAAGTCAGGTGCTTCCTGAGTGTGCTCAGGAGTTTGAGCTGGGACCATGCCATGTGCATCTTACTGGCATGGTGGTGACTTTTCAGACCTCTCGAGTCTGCTTTTCCTTTTCCCATCTACTCTCTTTCACATCCTTGCTGTTTCCTCAGTTTCTGTGGAACTGGAGTTGTACTGGAACAAGCTGGAGAAGAGGGAGCTGATACAGATTCTTTATGTTCCCTGTGTCATGTTAGTTTTCAGTTGGATCCATTCCTTGAAACAGTTCACCTGCACTCCCAAGAGTACTTGTGCTGCCACACAGGAGGAGCCTGTGCAGGGCTGAAAATAAGCGATGGGCTGAATGTGGGAGGAGGTAGATTGAGGTTAAGTTGACACTACAGATAGAAGTGACTGTGTCACAAGCTCTAAGCAGTAGCCTCTGTTTTTCTCAGTGTATCCTATATTGTCATTCAGTGGAGTGATAAGAAATGGGTGATATGAGATACTTCATGTGGCAGCAGTTTGCTCAGCACCCTGGAATCACTGATCTCACCTGTTTAGTCCTGTGACTCAGGGTTCCTCCTCCCTCACCAGGAAAATCTGTCTCATTCAAGCGGAGGATTATTTGCCTCCCACTTTGTTTGTCTGCAGTCCTGTTTTCTTTGCAATGTATGTTCAAAGCTACCTGGTTTTCCTTGTAGATGAGCAGCCTGAAGTAGCAGATTCTGCAGCTGCAGAAAGAGATCTCCTGGTACACTGGATTGGTCTAATAAGTAAAGAATCTGGCATTAAGCAAGACAGATCGGTCATCAAAACTCATGCTGGTGAGTTCAGTAACTTTAGTAGAGGTTGTAATTCTTGCTCCTTTTGAAAGGGGATGTAAACTTTTAACTAGACTTAAATTTTCTAGACAAGCTGTTAAAGTTAAGCCAGGAATCAGGCTGGTTTCATCAGCCACATAATTAAGTACGAAGTTTCTCTTTTGTGCTTTCCCAGAAAGCAGTTTGTCTCCCATTACACACATGGCTTTGATGCCTCTGACATGGTGATGTTATTGTAGTGACGCATTATCACAGGATCTGGAGAAATACATTAAAAAGTGTATCTACATTTTAAATTCAACTGTAATCCTCAAAATCTTCCTGGACTATTTAGTTTTCTTTTCTTTTTTTCTCCAAGTACTTGGACTGTGGGATTTTTTCCTGCAAAATAAACATGACTTCAGAATTAATTGTGTTAATCAGTGATGTTAATTATTGAATTACTTCCTTGCCATGCTTTAGTTCCTTTCCCAAGCTGAGGGAGGCAGCAGGGCACCAATTTTGGCAAGAACAATGGAGCAGCTTTACCCAACACAATGATGTAGTGGCTGGAGGAGGAGAGGGGAAGAGAGGAAGGAAGGATTCTGTTTGCATGTACTGGTTATGCAAGGAACTGTGAGAGCAGATGGTGGGATGCAAGTCCTGCTTAAGTCTTTCTAAAAAGTGGGTCAGAGATACTATTTTTAATGGGGGAAAAAAAAAGAAAAAAAGAATTTAAAAGAGCAAGAAAGCTGTGGTTGAGCAAAAATAATTGAAGCAGGAGAAGAATCTTCCTCAGTCTGTATGTAAGTGAAAAGTTATCAAACTCTGAAGTGTTGCAGGTCACCTGTAGGACTGATGAACCAGAGAGATCCTCCTGCCTAGGTGCTTCATGGCACTGTCCACAAGCATCCTCAAACCATCCATATGTATCATAGCAAAACATGACCTAAGATAATTTTTAGGCTACACTTAATCGTGTAGCTCATTCAGAAGAGTGGTGAGTCAGTGTGTGAGCTCCTGACTCATCTTCAGCATTTATCTTTCTATTACTGGATTTCCAAGAGTGCCATGGAGTCAAGTGAGAAGACAGTTAATGTAGAGCATCTCTTCCGTAGTAGAGTCTTCCTAATTTATTATTACATCAGAATCTTGAGACTCTTTGATTCATAGACATATGGAAAGGACCTGATGAGTTCATCAAATGAATAATAAATAATTGTATAATGTGGAGGAAGTTTTCCATCTCTGCAGAGCTTTCCCTTGGAAGTTAACAGTTGGGAAGATTGGGAAGGTCTCCTTCTCTTAACTTCAGATGTTTGTAGTTCTGCACAAGGGAACATTCTGCCTTTGGTTTATGGGATTTGATGGGTGAGGAGACTCAGAACAGTCAGTCTTGAGTAGCAAGCTCTGTTTCATTAGCGTGTGCTGTTGTATGAGGGGCTGTGCTGTCTTCTGTCTGCCTGTCCTGTTGCTTGTCATCCTGACAGCTAAGCACTTCTCAGGTACATGATCACGCTTCTGCCAACCACTGTCAACATGAAGAGCAGAAAATAAGGTTTATACTTATGCTTCTTTGATGTGATTGACAAGTTATCCCCAAACTCATCAGCATCAGTCATACTCAGCCACGTACTACATTGTTTTTGTTGCAGAATGTTAATATAGAAACAAAATCAGCACAGCAACTTCTGTATACTAACACCTACAAATGCCTCCTTCTCTTTGACTTAATTCACTTTGGTAGCCCCTAAGCTTCTTGTTATTTTATCAAATTGGAGATACTTTTTCATTAAATAAAATAGAAGATGAGCTTACCATTATCCCCCTCAGTAAATTCAGCAAAATAAATTGTGTGTGCTGAGCATGCATGGTACTTCTGCATTTGTCTTCAGGTAATAAACCAACTTCTTTTTATTATCTTACTACTGAGAGTGTTAAAGGGGGGGATTCGTGGTTTGCATACGGGAATGTCCTGGAATGAGATTCTTATTTGTCCTAGTTTTCTTGGTGGGCTGAAAGAGGAGCCCCCTGGCTGCTGGGCTCAAGAGAAGTGAGCAGTTATGTCACAGTTGTCTTTCTGTCTTCCTCTGCCCCTCTACCCCCGTGTTGTAGCAACAACCTATTATTAGATAAATGCCTCACAAAATGACTCTTAAGTCCCCATTTCCATTTAGATTATTCCAAAGACCATCAGCCACCTTTACTGCAAGAAACTGCATTTCTTCAGATGTATGTGAAAGTCCAAGTGGGGCTTTTTAATGCTCTGACTTAGGCTGTGTTCAGAGGTTTGCCCTCACCTTTGTAACGTGGCTACATTAAACACTTTGCTCGCTTATTTTTCTGCAGTGTGACCACTGCACTACTGCTGACAAAAGAGAGAGTGCTTTAGTTGTTAATGTTACTTAGAGGCACAGAAATGCCTGAGCAGCATCAGTTTTGTGGCTGAAATACAGTTCAGTCAATATCACCCATTAAGGCATTATTGTTACTATGATAGTAGTGTCAATGCTGGGAGATCTCTAAGTAAAAAAGGCCAACTTTATACAGGCAGATAAAAACCTGTGATTTGTGGTGTTAAGGTGAAAGGTGCTGTCATGTGCACAAAGAGGGAAGTACAAGCATTTATTTCCCTCCATCAGATTTTTTTCCAGCTTGTCCAGAGTATTTCAGAGTTGATCTAGTTCATATTCACTTTGTGAACAAATTTCCCTACGTCCAAGTGTTTGCTTATTGACTTGCCAAATAGTAATACTTTATAGAAAGTGTTCATTAAAAGTAGTAGTAGTCTACTTAAGAGCATTGAGAAAACATCCTATTGCTCTGTTTGGAGAAGAGAGCAGGTATCCCAACAGCTTGTGCTGGTGTTTTCCTATTCCTGGGTTTTTCAGCGCCAAAGGTTACTGCTTGATAACATCCACTGGTTATTGGATTCCTGCAGACCTTGTTAGGCTCTGAGACTCCAAACTTCGCTTCTGATTCTGTAGTAGAATAGTATTAATGTAGGCTAGATGTGGGAATTCCAACCAGCAGCATCTAAATGGAAACCCCTGCTTGTAAAGGAAGCGAATCCAGTTCATTAATGTCTTTATGGAACTGAGAAAGAAAGTTTCTTCCAAAAAATGTGGATTCTGCAGGATTCTTGCTGTTGTCTCTTCTCACTGAATGGTGGTGGACGCTGAGGGTGTCCTTCACCATGCTGGAGGAACGTTATTACAAATAAGAATTTACAGCCAGTAAATAGCCTGATGTTTTAGACTGTGTCAGTTGTGTGTTAGCTGCACAAGCCTCTCAAACACTATGTTTGCTGGTGGGGCTGCCAGCACGTGAATCTGAACTGCTGCACTCAATAGTACAAATGCAACGTCATCTTGAAATGCAGAGTTAGAATCTTCCTGCAGAGGAGTTGCTAGTTCCTACCTTTCATAATTGCCTCTCCTTTAACTGTCTTACATTTTTTCTTCTTAAATAGAGTATTGGTAGCACCTAATAACAACAAAGCAGCTGCCTGTTTTCCTGTTAAGTCAGTTAGACATCAAAGGAAAAGAAACTCAGTAAAGATTTTCTTTACTTTTCTCCCTTCACTCGCATAGATTTAAAATGTCATACTTAAAGATGTAGTTGCATGCAGAAAGCAAAATCTATGTAGGTCACTTAGTTATAAACTGCACAGCGGGGTTTAGAATGTAGACATGGAGATGAGCTTATCTCTGCTGGTACACACCGCGTGCTGCTTTAATCACAGCAGCTTCTTGGGCCAGTTTGTTGGGCTTCTCTCTCTCATACTCTGTGCTTTGTGACCTTAGTGCTGTGTGATACATGGCTCTGACTGGGTGCCTGTTCTGGTGTCTGGTTTTGCTGCTCTGGTCACCTCTTCCTGTCTTATTCCTCTCCAGCAAGGAGGATGTGGGAATGCGGGACGCGGGGCAGCCAAGCAGCAGCAAAATGTACTTCTGGAACAGTAATTGGCCCTGACAGGGGTTCTCTGTGGGCAGACGTGCAGTGACATTTAAGTCTGCCACACAAATGGAGATGGAGCGTTCGAGCATGTCTGCTTCAGAGGGAAGATATGAAAAGCACAAGAAATAAACCCAAGCACCACAGCAAGTGCTGAGATCCTGTTTTCCTTCAGCTGAAGGACAGGTGAACCCTGCACAGCCAGCAGGAAATCTGAAAGTGTCGATAGTTGTTGTGCACTCAGAGACTAACTTTTAACTGTGTCTTGACTATTCTCATCATTTTTGTTCTTGATCCTTGATCATTTTTATTCATTGAGCTTATTTACTGTTAAACATCAATTAATATGAAACAAGTAACCTTTTGAAATTGGTTGTGCAGTGAGGTTTTAAATGCTCTTTGCTACTGTTTCTTCTAATGTCTGTAGGTGCAAAGGAGCAGGTGGGTGGGTATATGGCAGCTCCCAATTCATGCTCTATTAAAAACCAATTCTGAAGTAAATGGGCTTCTGGATGTCAGGAGAAACTTAAGTGAATGAATTAGGCTGATATTAAACTGTCACAAATGCTCAGCAGAGCCCATATGCAAGATTCCTGCTTTGCTTAGGCTTAACTAAAGATCCCCTTATCCTTTATAGAGGTTGACTGCATTTCTGACGAGATGCTTGGATTCCTTGCACAATTCCACAGCTCTGTCTCGTGTACTTGAGACTAAACTCATTGCAACACACTTAGGCAAAGCTCTACATTCATGTTGTTCAGTGTTTTAAGGAGTTGTTGTGGTTGTGCCAGGGTATCCCACAGGACTGGAATGCCAATGCATTGGTTGCCAGACAAACAACCTGAAATAGGCAGTGCTTGTCTAGAAAAAGTAAAACTGAATTCAAGCACTGAAATGGAGGAATTGTTTAAATTTTCCTGTGGAAAATTCCTTTTTCCTATTCCTTTCCAGCTGAATGGGCAGCATGATTTGTTTCTGAAGACTTTGAGTGAAAACAAACTGACTGTTTTGGCTGTCAGAGTGGAGCCCTGAGAGGGAGCGCTGTGTTAGCATTAGCTACATGCAAAGGAGTTCATGAGACCATAGTAATGCTTACTGCAGTGCTTGTCTTCTCATTTCTCCTTTAATTACACACATTAAAGTGTTTAGTTGGGCCTCAGTAGTTGCATAAAAGCAAAACCTGTGTAATAAATGTAGAGAGGTACTCTCCCTGTTTATATAGTTGCAAGCAGTGGTATCTTAGGGCAGTGTGGTACTACACAGCATCGTTATATGCCCATGCTTATGAAATACTTTATTGATTGGCTGTGTTTAAGCCTGTGGAAAATTTCCCACTAAGCATTGAACGAAGCTGTAAATCCATCCTTGCCTGCCCATCTGAAGTATAAGCTCTCTTTTTATTTGTAATTACATGCCACTGAGAAGGATAAGAGAAGGTGAAAGATGCTGTTTAAACAAGGTCATAGAAAGAGTTTAGGAAATGATCCTTGAAGCTTTAGAGGGAAGTATTTTCTAATATAATTTTTAAAAGGTCTAACTGTAGGTTGTAGAATATACTTGAGGTGTTTTCTAAAGTTACTTCAGTAGATGCTGCCCTAATTTTTCAGTGTCTTATGAGTTACTCCTCAGAGTTACTAGGTGAGTTGCTCTCTTTTAAGTATGAAGTAATTTTGTTCTAGCAAGTTGCAGTTTCATGTGGGAAGAAGCTGAATCTGTATTAGACAGTAATTGAAACTCAGTTTATTTAATGTCACAGTACTTAAGTACTTGCTTTACTAATGTATTTGTGCCATGTCATTAAGTAGTCTAATTCTTTAGGGTTCTTACCCCCTCCCCTCTTTGGAAGACTGCTTATACAGACATTTATTCCTACAGTTAACATCTGCACTGCTGTTATTACACTTGTTGACTATAGGCTTGACATTGGGTTTGGGTTTTTATTGTGTTGCACAGATAGAAGACCAGTAATTCTTCTGTTTGCCTGGTACAGTGATTAACATGTTTGTTGATTTATACCTGACAGAAAAGAGTGAGCTATTAGATGGAGAATTGGATGCTCTCAGGTCCTTTTGCACCATGAAGATAAGCAGGATACACCAGCAGCTGATCTCCAAGCAGGCAAATGGTGGCAAGTCAAGAAAGCTGCAGCAGGGATTGACAGCAAAGAAACCAGAGACAAGTGACTTGAGCTGCATTGTTCCTGATGGGCTGATGAACAGAATCCGCCTGAAAAATATCAGGGAGACTGTTAAACAGGTACTGCAAGGAAGAAGAAATGTGGATTCGGGGAGAACCACTGGATGAAAAAGCTGTAATATAAGGATCGGATCAGGGAGACCTTATTAAGGCACACTCAGGCCTCTGAGAGAGGTTTTTTGCTCTGTCTCTCAAGATTTACCTTTCTGATTTATTTGACACGGCTGCAGAACTGTTGCTGGTAAACAACCCATCATTACAAAATGCTGTCTGGTGATAAAGTCCTGATTTGTGGGGTTGAGCCAGGCTGGGTGGGCAGTTACTGCAGTCCACAATAAACCCTGGATCAGCTGAAGAAAACAGCCTGCTTTGATGGTTATGTTTGCAACTGTTATTTATGGAAGTATTCTGCATGTCGTTTGCTTGTGACTCCAGTATTAGAAGTATTCCAAAAACAAAACCTCCCCCCTGCTTCCAGCTTAGACATTAGGTCATGTTAAGAATTAGAACACACCCAATAGGATCTTGGTGACATCAGTTCCTTTATTAAGAAGCATCCATCATTTTTACACAACTCAAAGTGCTTTTCTTTTTCACCAGCCCAGTGCTTTTTCCCCCCTGTAAAAGAGACATTCTGACACAGCTCTTCCCTTCAGCTCTGCATCTGAGAACCTTAAAGCTGGTATTTTTTTTGGCCACTGATACTTGCTTTCTTGCCTTGTGCTTGCAGAAGGATTTGAATATGTGGTGATGTAGATTTGAGTAGTGACTGTTACCTACAGATGCCTTTGCCTGTAAATCTGGGCCTTGGAAATGTCTGTACTTTGTTTGAGATTGGTACAGAACGTCTGCATCTGGGAAAGTATTTCTGATAGAACATGAGCTTTGAGTAGTCATCAGTCATTTATTTTGGTTAATCTCAATCTCATTTGCTGGCTCTAATTTATTGATATAGCACAGCAAAAGTGATAACATATTCCCCTGCAAAGCCTGTGCCAGGTGAGCAGCAGTGATACTTTTAAGGTCAATTTTTCAGGCTTCTCTTTGTTTAAATTGCTCTGATACTTCAGCAGTCTGCATCCTTGCACTGTATTAATGGAAACCAACCCACCATCCAAATTCTGTAGAATTTTTATCGCCTCTTATTTGTTTTACAGTGTGGTAATACATTTCCTAAGAGCAGTAACTGACTGCTGTGTCTGTTTGCTTCTGGCTTTACCTCCACGTAATAACATTTTTATGCAGAGGAGAAGCCATCAAGGAAGAAGACAGAGAGGTTTAAAACTTGACATTCTAGGATTGATTCCACTGCTTTTGTAGCAGCTGCTTTGGTTTATGTAACCAGGTGGAATCTGTGTAAATTACATGAGAGAAAATCATTGATATTTCATAAATGCACAAATGCTGGGATTTGTGGTGGGTAAACTGACAGAAGAATTAAGTAGTACTGTAGGAGTAGTACTTTATTATTATGAAACAATTTACAGCTGCCTACAAAAGCAAATTTTAGTCTTTGGACTCTATCTGTATTTTTATTGCTTGTTCTTAATGGAGTGGCTGTTCTGCTGGGACAGGCTTTGCTCGCTGCATTAAAGTCTCACCTTTCAGGTGGCAGAAGCTCAGATCCATGAACCCTCGATGTGCCCTGCGTGTCAGGAGAAGGAGGCAGAGCTAGCCAAGATCACCTTCCACAGAAGAAAGAAGGTTCTGATGGAAAATGCTTTAATCCAAGAGAAACTGGACGAACAGATTTACTCCAGAGTAAGCAAATGTCATTAAAGAAAAGTTGTACATCTTCTACATACAGTAACTAAAGAAATCTGTAGGCCAGGTTTCCCTCTGACTTAGGGCAGTGGGATCACATTGATGTGGATGCAGTGCAAGTCAAAATAGAATTTGGCTCCATATCATTAATAAAATGCTTGGGACTAACATACTGATCAAGTCATTTGAGCTGCCTTATTTATATTAGCTGAAGGTTTTCCCCAGGAGGTCCTGGAATTGTGGGTATGTCTGGATTATTTCTCCACAGCTTGTTTTCTGATGGACTGTCCAAGACAAAATATAAGTAACAAAATGATGTGACAGTAGGTGATTGTGCCCATCCTTTCTTACTCATCCTTTGGGGTAGAAGTCTCAGGATAGGACACTGCAACATTTTATGGTGGCTAAGGCCTCTCACATAGACTGTTATTGCTTCTGTCTGTGTCTACTGTCACAAAGGTTCCAGCTTTATTGTTAGGAAATAACTCTGGAGCAGATGGTAGGCAATATAAGCTGCAACTTACTGAATGCCTTGGGTCTTCTGGGGCTATTCCTAAGGATGGTCTTCCTCCAGGAAGAACTCTTCTCTCCTTTCTTGAAAGGGAGTCAGATTGAAAGCAGGACTTTTCTGAGCAATGAACAAGTAGTGCTTCCCGAAGCCCTGAGGTTGATCTCTCTGTGAGCAGGGTTCCCACCTGTGTTTGTATTTTTGTTGCTTAATAATGCCAACTCCTGACTTCTGACTCCATTCGCTCCAAACCCAAGTAATCCATGTTTCCTTTTTATTTCAGGATGCACTTACACTTCTAGGGGAAGCACTCGGAAGCATACCCAAACCTTCAGAGGATCCCAGGAGCCTAAGGCAAAGGCTGAAAGGTCAGGAAATGTTAAGGCCTGAAAGCAGCAAACAGCTCAGGGGCATAAAGAAGTGGGAGAGTTTTCTGTGGGCAGTCCCATCTGAATGCTGTGGATATAACATGTTTTGTCAATGATGAATTGGGTGATGCTTTAATATTCTTGCAGGTGGAACCCGCTGTGCCCAGCACGCTGGTGTCTGGGTTGTGATTCAGCTCTTTATTCATCCAAATGCAAATGTTGCAATATATTGTAATCCAACTATATACGTTTTTCACATGATGGGAGCCAACACTTTCTATTATTAAGCTGACAAGTAGTAAGGATTGGTTTGTTGGTTTTTTTGTGGGATTGCTTGTGGGATTTCAGAGCAGCTCACAGCTGCTTCCATCCATAAGAAAAATAAATGATTCCCTTTTTCAGGGCAGGGAGGTGTAATTACTGGATCTCAGCTCAATCTTTGCCCACTGTCTCATGGTAAATGGAGAGTCGCAGGTGGAGGAGAGAAAAAAGGTTGCAAAGTGACTACAGAAAGGAGTAAAATGAAACGTTCCATTTATAGAACTGAAATAATGAGACTATAACAGAAATTGATCAGGGAGTCTGCGGATGCCAACAGGAGAAGAAACGATAATAAATGAATCATGGGACCTACGTAGCATGGGTGTTTAGGAAGAGAAAAACCAACATAGATTAAAATAGGAATAAACAATGTAGATTAAAATAGGAATAAACAATGTAGATTCAAGTGGGAATAAGATGCCAAATAATATTTTTGACTTTTTTTAATACACTTTGGAATTTATTGTGATTCTCTGTGATTTGTTTTCGTGATGGCAAAGTCACTGTCTTCTAAAGAAAATAGCTGGGTGAAGGACTGGTGTACAGCACACATCCAGTTAAAATGGCTTTATGCTGGGATCTCAGTGGGTTAGACAATGAAATCAGCTTCTCTGGAGCTTCAGTTGTCTGCTGCTGTGTGGGCACGAGTGCAGCTCACCTTTGAGAGCAGTGCTGACAGGAAGAGCTCATTGCATTGTTCTTGCAGTGAGCCTGTGGTCGTTGGGCCTGTGTGGGTCATGAAGTTACTGACTCCTCAGCCTCCAGTGTCTTGACTTCTGTGCATTTAGATCTCTGAAAGCTGTGGGAATCTTGGAGGAATATCCTATTGATGAACTCTTCCTGAATTTCTGTTATAAATAGTCTTACCATTGCATTTTATTTTCCCATTTTGGGACAAGAACATACAGTGTTGAATTTGGTTTTATATTTTATACCCATGTAGTTACTTTCTTTTGTATGCTGTATATTGTTTAAGAGTGTTTGAGGGCTGTTTAGCCTCTTGTTTTCACTTCCCACAGATCAGTAGAAAACCTGAAAAGAAAGATTTGGCTATAGAGGTAGCCAAGCCCACCTATGTCAGTGAATATCTGCCTTTTGGTGCTTAAAAATCTGCCTTGAATGATTTCACTGGGGGTTGATCCTGAGTAGGTCAAGCCCCAAGTGAGAACGTAAGACATCCCTAAGCTGTTCAGAGCTACCTGTCCTTACTGCTTCATAGGCAGCTCATTCTAGTTTCTTGCAAGGAGCAAGTTTAGTATTCCATCAAAAACATTCCCCTAAGCCTGGCCTTAACTTTGGGATTGTCACTGCAAATTACATAGCTACCTATATAATGAATAAACTGCTGCTTGTCTCTTCCTGTTACTCTATAATCCTTAGAAATGTTTAAATCCCTTAAATTTCTTACCTTCCAATCTTACAAACCTGCTCTTTTGAGCTGCTCCATCCCTGTTCCTTGCTTTGGGCTGTTACTCTCAAGTCTTTCAAAGCCTTCAGCAATCAACCCAACACTGGGCAAGGGGTACCTGTTATCTGTGGGAAGTCTGGTAGGGGCTGTCAGGTACAGAAGTGATGATCAGGAGCTGAATCCTTTGAAACTGTCAGCTTGCTGTTATTGGCAGTGGGTGCAGCTTTCAGCCCTTACAACCACCACAGAAAGAGACTTCCAGGACTCTTAAGTACAGATTAATAATTTCCATAAGTAAAAGATAGCACATTGATCTTTCTGCTTTCAGTACAGAGATGCTTTCTAGACACACTGAAACACTTCTTCACAGCTCTTGTCAAGCTCGTATGTAAACACACTGAACTATGAGCTATTTGGGGTAGGCACCTGAAAATATTTGTCTGTAAAACAGCATTCCTACTTGCAGCACAGCAGCTGTATGGTTCCTGTTTGCATAAATGTTACAAAGAATTCAGATAGCTCTTTTGAAAAATCAAAGTGTGTTTTGCTCATGTCTTTTGCATGTGTTTCCCTACTGCTTACGACAGTTCTCTCGTTTATTTTTCTTATCAGGAACGTCTGTGAGATGAGTGTTTGTCTTCTGCTTTCTTGTAGCAGCTATTAGGGATGTACAATGGAATGAGCGATCTGAGTCTCTAAATAATTTATCTTATAATCCTGCAGTAGTTGAGCTTCGAGATCCCAAAATTCTGCCATGGAGGACGTAGGAGAAGCAAAACCAAACAGTAGATCATGTCTCTCCCTTTCCCCCTCACAGGAGCTGCCCCCTCCCACCTTCCTCAGCAGTAGGTTTTTCTTTTGATCCACAGAAACACTCTAAAACTATGATCAAGAAATACTGATTCATCTGCTCCTCTGCTCCTTTGTTTGTGCTTGCTGGGGCATAAAAGGAGCGAGGTGGATCAGGACTGATTCATGTGGTAAGCACCTCTAGGACTGAAACAAATCAATCTGCCCATTAAAAGTACTTTGGAGCTTTGCTTTCTAGCTTTGTGCTGCACGTAGTTGCATTATTTAATCTTCTGAATGATTTGTGGTGTGGTAGAGTTCATTGCTCTGAACTTTGCACAAATGCAGAAGGGTTTATCGTATATATATTGGTTTAGGTATATGTGATATTTTGCTTCATAGCTGACTCTTTGGATAAATTTATACTCCTCAGATTATCATTCAGATCAGTTTCCTGAGGACAGCAGCAATGTAATTTCCACATTCATCTGCCCTCGCTTTCTCTATAAAAAAACCAGCCTGACTTCCAGGCTCAGTCATTCCTCAGTCTTGTTTCTAACCATCTGTTGGGCCACGGGGCTTTGTATTTGTCATTTGTAAGAGTCACTTTAGTGTTCTGTCTATTTTTTTTACCATAGCCAGTTTGATCAGCTTCCAAGAAGAGGAGCTGAACTCACTTATTCATACCGGGAGCCTGACAAAACTTCTAAGCTGGTGCACTGAGGACAAGGTTTTGCTGCTGGAAGGGATCATGTTCCCTGGGAAATTGGTAGCGCCCAGACTCTTCCTCAGTGAGAACCCGAATCGTAGCTTTCAGTTATTGCAAATCCTACACACACGCGCCAGCAAGAGCTGGAGTACTTCCAGCTATGTATTTTTATAGCATGTATTTGAAATATACTTGCCTTCTTCCACATGTGATTTTTGTCACCATTCAGTATGATTTTCAGAGAAGGACTTTGTATTGTCTCTGCTCAGTGAGAGCTAACGTAGATGCTACATGCAAGTTGTCACTGCCTGCAACAGGGTTGGTCTTCTGAATGCCGCTATGCTTAGTGTGGTTTAATTCTGTGCATGCATACATTAATGTTACAAATGCTACAGTTGCATTGTTTTTATGCAGCTAGCTAGCTGCTCCCTGTCCCTCCACAAGGATTCTGAGGATCTCTGCACCGGCAGCAGCATGATCTGTACGAGGGGAGGCTGGGAAGTGAGAGGGAGCACATACCTTCTGTCAGTAAGGTACTGGGGCCTTTGTCTTTCAAGTTAACTAGAATTGATTAGGGTACCTTAAAAAAGAAACACTTTCCAGCTTCTGGGCATGGATATTCACTGCTTATTTATTCATTTATTTTGTAATAAAATAGTACTGTTTGTTCTCACATAGACCAGTGTGTATGATCCATAAATAGGTTTGTAAAATAAATCTGTAGCATGTAACAGAATCCTTTAGAATCTTCTGTGAAAATTCATATCTTTAGTTGATAGCATTTTAAGAACATTTACATCCTTCATCTTGACATTTTTAACTAGAACATTTTTTGCCTACAGAAGTAAGTTTACAGCATCACAGTATTATAGCTTGTTTAAAAATACATACAGCATTACTGGCAAGTGCAGGCAAGCTAGCTACTTGAGCAGGGCTTCTTGTAATTGTACATGGTTCCTACTTTTTAAAACAATGAAGTATATTAATATTACATCCATCACTTTGTTAGAAAATGTGACTTTGAGATGCTACTCACAACAGAGCTGCCATTTTCCCATGGCAAAATATTACAGGCTATGAAAATAAAAACACACCATTGTATGGTTGGCTTAAAAAGAAGTACAAGCCTAGTTTAAAAAGGGTGTTAAGTTGGAAAGTTGGGTTCCAGGAGCACTGGAGGTCCTCATACCACTTGTGGTTGGGATGCCTCTACCACCCCATGGCACTGAGCCTCACCTGAAAGAAATACTGACTTACCACCTGCAAATGCACATAGGGCTGGGTCCTGCATGCCTTCTGCATGGAGCTGCTGCTGAAGATGTGGAGGCTTCTTCAGCTGGGGGCTTTCAGGACCAGGCTGCTGCTGCTGAGTGTCTGTGAACCTGATTTACTTTAAGACTCCAATTGGATTTCAGAGTCTTCAGCCAGATGATTAGATCAGTGCAAAACAACACAACTCCACTGAGCTTTACTGAGCTGCTGTGTTGCTTTGCAATAACCAAACCTGACTTTCTGCCTTCCACAGGCCAGTGGTAGAGTGTGAGCAACAGGTTTAAATGCACTGGGTTAGTAGTACAATAGAGATCAAAAATACATGATTGCCTTGGGTTTACTTTGCACAAATGAGACTATATAAATATATATATGTATAATAAAGCTGTAGGAAATCTCCAAACTGCCAACAACTCTTATAAATGAGATAAAACGAGGGTAGGTTTGCTTGGAAATGTCATAGTTGCCGTTCTTTTGTTATTTCCATGCTCAGGTAATGCA